AAATTTTTGTTTGAATATTTTAATTTTATAAAAATGTAGATCATAGCAGTATTACACAAATTTTCCAGGCAAATTTGTCTGGAAATAGCCTACAGATTAAGGGATAGTAGTAGAGATATAAAAAAAAAATAAATAAAACTTCAATATTTATTTTAAAAAAAAATTATTGAAATTAATAAAGTTTTTATTAAAATATTTTTATTTAAAATTTTAAAAAAATTTATTTAAAAAATATTTTTTAAAAATTATTTTATTTTTAGCTAATTTATATAACTTGATAATAGCAGTTTATAATTTAAAAAATTAAATTTATATTTATAAAAATTATATAACTAAATTTTAGTAACCTAGTATAGTGATTAGATTGTCAGACTGTCATGCAATAGATCTGAGGTTCAAATCCTACTATTGATGAATTTGAATAATTTCTTAGATCTTGTAATATATTACAGTAAACTCTGTTTGTTTTTGAAAGCATACTTCTATAAATTGTGTTGTACCAAATTGATCAAAACTTAGAAGTATAATATAATATTATACAAATAAATTTTGATAGAATATATAAGCAAAAAACCTGTATGATAGAAATCCTATGTCAATAAAATAGTATAGCCTTTCAACAGATTACATTAACTAAAGTCTGATCTGAGAAGAAATTTCAGTTTAATAAAGGTAGAAGGTTTTGAGATCTCTAGATAAAGAGTAATCAAGACTAGTTAGATACTAGAAAAGAACTAGGTTAACTAACTAGTAAAAGGCCATAGTAAAATCTAGGATTATATAAATATTTACAAGAGTCTAAGCTAGATGAATCTGTAAAATAAATACAAACTACTCTAGTAGGTTTGCTTTGAGGTTAACTAGCTCTGCAATACTAGTAATATATCTGATATAATATATTCTGAAAGAATCTAAACCATTCTGAATAAATAGATCTGTAACAAACTAACTAACTTAAATGGTTAAGTGTTATAATAATATTAAATTAGATCTGTATAGATTAATAAATAAAGTGTTTAAATAGATAACTCACAAGTAGATTACAGATATAACAGTATAGTGTAGAACCAATCGAGTAGTCTAATATCTGTGCAATAAACTACTTAAAATAGACAATAACTAATATTATACATGTAGCTTGTTGTATACTCTTCATGTAATTACAAACAGTAGGGATTATCAATATATAATCCTATTTGCAACACTAATAAAATTTCTTTAGCAATATAAGCTATCTTTAACAACAAAAAAAAAAAAAAATTATATAACTTAAGATTAAACAGATAAATTACAAATATAACAACTCAACTAGTATAGAACCTTCAAGCAGATAATCTAAACTAAACAATGACTAAAATTATATATGTCTAGTTATATATGAGTGTTGGTAAATGAAAACCTGTAAATCGTTTTTTTGAATATTTACTTTTAAAAAAAATATCATGAAAACCAACTAATTGAATACCTAAGTTTTTAATATTATTCAAATCGTCATATTAAGCCGATTCGAATAATATTAAATCTCAAGTATTCAATTAGTTGGTTTTCATGATATTTTTTTTTAAAGTAAATATTCAAAAAACACGATTTGCAGGTTTTCATTTACCAACACCCATATTTATTATATAGCTAGACAAATAGTAAAGATTATTTATAAAAATTGTTAGATTTATTATAAAAAATTTTTTAATATAAAAAATTTTTATAAATTTTTTTTCATACAAGAATACGTAAAAAAAAATTTATACAAATTAATATAGAAAAACTTTTAACTTACCATATATAAAAAAGTTATCTGGCTGGGTAACGAGAGCCAATTTTATTTGTTTACATGACCTAATACTGTAATAATAAGGCATTCAATAAAATCAGTCAAAATCGGTCTATATGCTATCAAAACAGCATTCTAATCTAATACAAACTCACTGCGCTTTGTAATGCCCAACTTGTTGATTGAGATAACGATAACAAGTACACTTATACGCAAACCGATTACAAATCAGCTGTTTAGAAGAATTTTTAATTGATAGGCAGAGAATCAATAAAAAAAAAAAACCTTGTAATATAAAACCTTTTTTTATTTATAACAATAACTAATTTGCATTTTCGATCTTTCTAATTCTATGCAAAACTACAGTATTTAAATTGTATTATAATATTAAGCCTATTTATTTTAAAGGATATTAATAATTGAAAATACTAATTTTACAGGTATTCAAATAAATGTAGAGATTGTGGTAAGAATCATTTTAATAAATGATAATACAAATAAAATATCAAACAGTATTTAAAAGCTTTGAATAATGTTCATTACTCAAAAATGTTAGATTACCGAACCGAATATTGTATATCAGTTCCTTGCAAAAATGCAACCAGTGTAATCTGAACAAGATTTCAATCACAAAAATTCCCATGCCATCTATACTTTTTTAACCATTTTCTTTTGCTTTTTTTTCAGCTCTCTTTTTCGCTCTTTCTCTTCGTACTAATATGTGACGTCAAGTAAAATGTTAAAATCTTGAATTGGCCAAGTTGAATACTATATAAATAAAATTTTACCTTTCGTTGTTCTTCGGGAGATAATTTAGCTACACGTTCAGCTTCGGCACGTTTTTTATCAGCTTTTTTCTGCTGAATTTCCTAAATTGAAAAAAAAGTCGAATCAGATTGGTTATAAAAGATCTATTAATCAATATAATAAATTAATATAATTATAATATAGGAAACGTACCTCTTGCCTTTCAGCTGCTAGACTTTTTTGTATGACTTTATAAGCTTCTTCCCTGCTCTTGTTAAGTTTTTGCCTAGTCTAAAACATTCAATAGATTAATAATAATAAACAGTGCATATAAATATACTATTAGGAATATTTAACGTACTTCTGCTCTGAAAGAACAACGCGAAGGAATCAAATCAATTAATGACAGAGCCAATTCCGCTATAATCAAAATATCCGAAAATTTTGAAGTGTCATCGGGAAGTTCATGCATAACGGTCAAAATTTTTTGTTGTTGATCTTCTTCAATTCTGCATATAACGAAAAAATGATTAATATTATAATAAAACTAATTAAATAAACATAATAACAAGTTTAACAAAAACATACTTTTCCGGGCGAAGTCGTGGTTGATCAGAAATTATTAAATACGTCAAATATTTGGAAGATGCTTTCAACAATTCTATAACTCTATTGCTAAGAATCGTATCAGTAACTTCCACAGATTCACTATGAACATTAAAAACGTTTGGGAGAAGATTATTGTTACTTTGTTTGGTAAAAGTCCTCTAAATTTAGCATAATATAAATAATAATAATAATTAATAATAATCATAATAATGTTTTAATAAAATTAGAAAATATATGCTATACCAAATCATAACGTGCTTGACGAAGATCAAAAGCGCGTTCTTTCTTTAAAACACCAAAAACAAAGTCATCGTAAGCACCATCATACATAGTTACATTATAAGTCTAAAAGAAAGATGTATTGTAATTATTTAAAATAACGAAAAGATTGGTAAACCTTATAATTAAATACTTACCACAGTGTCCGTTACTGTTTTGCTGCTAAATTGAGATGAAACAAAATTTGTAATGGTTTGAAGCATATCATGTCGTGGCTTAAGCTATTGCAAATCATGACATTGTCGATTAGAGATTCATAAAAAAAAGGTAGATATATAAAAATCTAATTTAATGATACGAACCGTTATTCTTCCATGAATATACTGACAATTTCTGCGACCACTTAGATAGAAAAGAAAATCTGCAGGGCCATCCTGTATAAGAACGCCACCCTTATCATTTCCAACAAGAGAAAAATTCTCTCTAAAAAGAGTAATATGTTGTTCCATCCTATAAAACAAATTAATCAAATCAATCAATCAAAATTAATCAAAATTAATCAAATTGGTAAACTTTTAATTCTTTAATTAATTTGTAAATAAATAAAATGATAGGATTTTACCATTTTATTGCAATTGCTTCATTTGTTCGTTTGCCGATGAAATAAACAATAAGATATACAATAATCATCCCAACCATTACCATTTCACGATAAAAATCAGATAAAACAAGTTTTGGGTACACTTTATAAAAAAATAAATAAATTAATTAATTAATAAATGATTTGAAAATACAAGTATAATCAAAAATAAAATGCACTTTTGATGTCAAGAGGCTTAGGCTCCCGGACCTCTTCTTTAAAAGGTTCGAAATCAGGTTTGATAGGTTCTTCGGTTATTTGAATTTCTTCATCGTCCCATTCATCTAAGGTTCAATATAATATTTATATATAAACTTTTTTTTTTGAAGGTTAGAATAAATAGTCAAGCAGTTACGTACCAGCAATAACTGTTTTCGTAAATAGTTGACAAATAAGCACCAATGCTATAAAAAACAAGAAAATATTTCTTAAGCGTTGGATCATCTTCTAATCTGGATTCTTTGGTAACTGGTTAAGATTTTTTTTATTATTATAAAAGACGACTGTCAATTTGAAGATCGTTACACAATTGATAAAATTTTTGACTTTTTTAGTTATAGGAGGACTTTCGTCTGATTGGCTGATGTAAATCAATTGCTCGGGTAACTAATATATACAGTTTAAAGTACTTTTTTAATCTGCAACGTTTCACTATTTTATCTATACAATATATATATATATATTTTATAATTAGTTTCATTTTTTTTTTTTTTTTTTTTACTTTATACAAATGCTATCAATCGAATTTTTATTGATATAAATAGTGAGAAATATTACATATTGTGAGAGTACAACTAGCCATATGTACAACTTTAGATTGTCTAATTTAAGTAGTCTGCCTGAAGGTTC